CACCGGGTTAGATTTGCAGTGGAACCTCGGTTTAAAAACATATTTTTTATTATTTGTATATCTTTGTTATATTCTACTTTGCAGCAATCCTAAGGGTTGAATTTGGCGAGATTCGACTCCGTTAAAAAATCAAATTACAGCAAACTACCTCGCATAGTCGACTTGAAATCGGGCAAATCGAGGTTCTTATAACGGAATTAAGAGGAACCACATAAAAAGGACAGTTTTGTATATGGTACACATAGATTTTATTTTTATTTTTCTAAATTAAAATTTAGTTTTTATCAACAATTTCAAAAATAAAAATTATTAACCAATAAAAACTGACAAAAATATTTCATTTTTAAATGGTAAAGTGACTTTTGGCCCACCCTGTACAAATAAACTGTGTATTCGGATTACATAATAGCAAATAAAGCAAAACACAACGGCATGTGTCATTTTTTTTTGCTACCTTGCTACAAGGCGGTGCAGGAATTACTTTTGCTGTTTGATTTAAAAATATGTGACATAAATGTTTTCGTCAAATATTTGCCGTGCTATCGATCAATCTTTTTCGGCGAAAAGAGGATTTTAGCCTTGTACAAATTGATTCTAATCTGCACGGATCATAAATCTCTGCATATATTCATTTTTAATTACACACCACGTGGAATTCTATTTGCAAATATTGCCCAAATAGGAAAAATACTGTATGTAAAGAATTAACTTGAAATACAAAAAAAATGTAATATTTGTTATTGCTTTTTATGTAACCTTATAAGATAATTTGTTATGTATGAGTTTTGTGATTGTTCCTGTATGATAATTCAAATACTAGTTATTTTTATTGTTTTTACATATGATTTAAAGCAGAGGTTCCCAAACATTTTTGTGTCGTAGACCCCTTGCCATGTTTTTCGGTTTTGGGTAGACCCCCCAATTACCAGATATTGATTTTTAGTAAATTTAGTAGTGAAGTTTAGTGTTAAAAACTTAAAGTAAAAAATGTTAAGTTTTATACATTTATTAATTGAATTTAAGTTCAAAATGTATTGCGACCACAAAACGAATGCCTACATCCTACAACTTACACAATTTTATAAACATATATAATATTTTTTTTACTTCATAGGTACTTTTATACATAATGTATATGTCTTTATCGGTGGCAATCGCAAGCCCGAAAACCGAAATCCCGTCTATAGAAATCCCAAGTGTATCGAAATCCCGACGTTCGAAATCCCGACTATATCAAAATCCCGACGTTCGAAATCCCGACTACCATAATCCCGACAACCGAAATCCCGTCTATCGAAATCCCGAGTGTATCGAAATCCCGACATTCAAAATCCCGACGTTCGAAATCCCGGCCTTTAGAAATCCCGACGTTCGAAATCCCGAGTGTATTGAAATCCCGAGTTTATCGAAATCCCGTCTATGGAAATCCAGAGTGTATTGAAATCCCGACGTTCGAAATCCCGAGTTTATCGACATCCCGATGTTCGAAATCCCAACGTTCGAAATCCCGACTATATCGAAATCCCGACAATCTAAAACTTAATAAGATTATTAATTGTTGTTATTTATTGTTAATAACATAAACTAATTTTATTATATAATATTTCTTATTCTTAAGTTTTATAATGAATAAATCAACAAAAAAAACAAAGTTGTCGGGCTTGCGATATAGACCAGTCTTTATATTATAAGATAGTATAATGTAAGTAAATAGGTACTATCAGTGTATGTTGAGATCCACTATAGTGGACCCCCATTTTCATTTCATGGACCCCCAATTTTTTTTTTCGCTGACATAGACCCATTGTAGGAATCACTGATTTAAAGTCATCGATTAGTGCGGCTTCAAACAGTACGGGATATTGTCGAAAACGATTATCCGAGGTATTTCTGTTATTCTTCTAAAGTAAATTTAGATCTGGACAAACATAAATTTATTAGAAATTATAAAAAATTTCAAAATATACTAACTAAAATGTGTATACTGTCTTTACGTTGAAGCGAATTTCATTCTGTATATTAATTTGTATATACATCGAACCCTTGAATAATACGGTTAATTGGATTAACAAATAGGATTACGTGTGTTTATAAATAAATAAACATAGACATTAAGTCAACAAGCTATAAAAACAAACTATATAAAGAAATATTATTTTAATGGTGTTTTCATATCTGTACAGTCTTACCTCGATTTACGAATAGGATGTAAATGGTATTATGGTTGTCGGGATTTTGATATTGTTGGGATAATGGTTGTCGGGATTTCGAATGTCGAGATTTTGATTGCCAACTATTCGAAACCTATGATTGAGTCATCTGGATTCATTTGATGATACAATCATTGGCCTTTAAGCATTTGTTAGTAATTTCCAAGACAATTGCTGATTTCGTTATATCAAAGCTTTGTTAACTGAGATATATAAATAAACACAGTCATGGAAACAATAAATTATAAAACAAAATGTATGTCAAATCAATATCTTGAAATGGTTTACTAATCATAAATCTAAATACAAAAAAAATCTATAGTTAATCAGACTGTAATAAATCTGGAATATTGCTGTACATTGTGTTAATTATATAAGCATACATTTAGCACAAATTTAGAAGTCCATCCAAATTATATGAGGTTTGTGAAAAACCAAAGTAGAAATCAGTACGGAAATGTGAATTATCCACACTTTCTACCAATTATTACACTGAATTCGTTTGTTCGGTATTATTCAAGTCATCTTTTGACCAAATGTTCTTGTCCTTGTTTTCTAATACTAAATTCAGTTTATATTTACTCTACTTATAAAATTATAGCTTCATCTTGAATATATTAAATTACATGAATTATTAATATTTGAATTAAATTAAAAAAAAAACATTAAACTCTGTTTTATTAAGGTAATAAAATTTCATAGTAATAAAATAATTCAAAATTAATATTTTGCATTATTTTTTAATATAAACCCTGACTTTATATTAATATTTATATTTTTTATTTGACCTAATTTTAAACATAGTTTTTCTGCATTAATATTTGTAATTTAATTATAAATTTCAATAAGTTTTAACCTAATAATATTCGCTATCAATGTCACATTTACCAGCAAATACCACGTGCGGTTTCGATGAGTACGGACTCACTACAGTCCGGTTAGAAATTTTAAAACAAACTAAATATTAATAAAATTAAAATAAATTCTAGAAAATTAGTAAAAAAAAATATCATAAATCGTCGTTTTTTTCATTATTCAAGTCAAGGCTCTTTTTACTGATTATTTAATGTGGTTTAAAAATCCTTAAATAGTCCGGATTCGAATAGTGCGTATTAATGAAACCGATTACACGTATTATTCGAGGTATTATTGTATACTTAAAGAAAACATAATTTCAGGCGAGACTAATAAAACCACTTTATTACGGTTATAAAATTGTTTATATTAATTCAAATGTTATATGAAATCGATATACAAATATTTTTGTTATTAAAAGTATCTGAGATAATAAATGAAATAGGATAACAAATATGAATTAAAAAAAAGTATAACTAAATGACAAAGCAATGATTTATTAAAAATGTTTTACATAATATATTCGTATTGAAATAATTGAATGCGTTTCTTAAACTTATTGATTATATTAAATTTCTTAATATTCACTTTTTACTAAAATTTTATTAGGATTTATTCATTTTAGTATCTTCTTTTTAACAAATTATAGAGACAATTTTGAGAGAAAACAAATTATCACAGTCAATTTTTAAGTCGATTTCTTTACGTAAAAAAAGTCATATAATAACATAATTGAAGTTAACACTAAATAGTATAGCTCAAGAACAGGGTGGGAAAACATCGACTGACTGATGTAAAATACATATAACTTTTGTGATTGTATTTTTGTGCGTACGGAAATATAATAAAATTATATAATTTTAACCAATTCTTGCACTGAGTATGTAGCAATTATAAATTTTCTTAAAATTATTTATAATCTACAATAAAAATAAACTCAAAATTTTAAAACATTCAGTTCAAGTTGGCCCACCCTGTATAAGACGTATTATTTATTTTTAAAAATTTTGGATCTAAAAACTTATGTATAAGTTTTTTAAATAGTATTATTATCTCACATAGTCTAAATAAATACATAAATAAATCGCACATAAAGAAACTTGATTGTATAAAGTGAAAAAGCACTAATCATTTATAAAGGGTATAACAAAATTAACTCAAAATTTTTACTAACCCTAACCTCTCAGCTGTCAAACTGTTTTTTTTTTTGGGGTTGCCAACACTTTATTGCATAAATAGCGGCAAATTCAAATCTTGCGTTAATTTTGGAACACCTTTCATATAAAAAAAAATATTTTTTTAGACATTATTATTATTTTGTGTATCCGGATTTATCCTATTTGAGGTATAGATTTTAATAATTTAATTATTGTTTAATATTGTTATTTTTTATTGTAATTTATATCGAGAATTTATTATTTCAATTAATGTAGTCAAATGAGTTTCGACCTTCCGTTCAACACAATAATCTGAAATGTTTGCTTTGTGCAAAGTTTGCATCCTGTAAGTAACAGCTAAGAACTTAATTAACTACATATTTAAAGTACATTAAAACCATGTCGGAGAACATCGGTCCGTGCAAATATTGCGGCTACTCACTTGTTTATCGTCTACGTGGAAACAAAACAAAAACTGCAAAAAAGGATAATTGAGCACAAAAAAAAAGAAAAACTTCTTCAAGACAATCTGTTTTGGAAAGTTTTCCCTTGTTGTGTTTCGCGAAGAACAAGCTTCGAGGCTGTGCGCAAATATTGACAAGCCGAGGCAATCATTAACAAGATCTTGCAGTCATCTCACAAGAGAAAAAAAAACTAACAATATTTGCTCGATGAATACAGGAAGTATTGGATTGTTTTCTTTATTATGTTTTTTATAATCGGGTTGTAGAGAGAATAACAGTGTTTTTTGTATTATTTATTCATTTATATTGGCTAATCTTAAAGAGGAACATTTTTAATGAACATTCATAGAATAAAGTGTGTATGCGTGTGTAGTATATTAAGAATCAACTTTTACATCTTTGCCATCTTTTTATTTGTTCTTATATATATTTTTTATATGGGCTTAAGAGTGAATTCAAAAGTTCTACGAAACAAGTATAATTATTAGAAAGCTCATTATCGCATAAATACAATTAACGTTACACAGCTATTTGGCATTTTACTTATATATATTATAATATTAGTAATGTAGGGAAGTGGGGAAATGTTCAAAAGGATTGGTATCTTAAGGTTTTACATAGGTTTGTCTTTACATTTAGAGGATATTTATTTTCATTGCTGTAGACTGTTTAAGAAGATATTACGTTGTCGGATTGGTATGGTGATTCATATCTGACATCGTTTTCTGGAGCCACCCTTTCGTATCCCCATTTAGTAGCTAGAACATACAAAAAAAATACAGATTTAGTTACATAACTTATAAATCGTATATATCATACGAATTTTTTTCAAACTATTTTATTTTGAGAAATAAATTTGACGTGAAAAAAAAATACAAATGTTATAAACAAAAAATATGAAAATGTCTTATAATAAAGATATCTTAAATTATTTAGGAAATTTCCAAGAGATAAGATAGTCACTATCCCTTTGAAACAGATTTTCAAAACATAATAAAAATAAATTGAAACCCATTTGTAATTTAATAATTTTAGAAAGGTACAAATATTTGTTGAAACGCAATTGAAATTGTATCAGGCAGAATCCAGAATTTTATAAAAAAAATCATGATTAACGTGAAAAAGTTTTAGGATTTAAAAATGTTATAAGAAATTTGAACTGATTGTAATTTAATCAGAATGTTATTGAGCTATCAATAATAGAAAATGTTGAAAATTTGGAGAAATTTTTATGTCATCATTATTGTAATATTTGTAAGGTTTTAAAAATATTAAATATCATTTAAAAGAGCTGAAATTATTGAAATTATGCAGAATATTAAAAAAAAAATACAAATTTAGAAAAATACAAATAAGTTTAATCATGATTATCAAGAAAAATGTAAATATTTGAAAATTAATTTAAATTTAATCATGAAAATATTCTATTTCTCAATTATCCAATAGTTATGTCTAATATTGGAAATCAAACTATTGAATTTTTGTATAATAGAAGAAATTTGAGATTGTATGTAATAATTTGTTAATTCTAAATCTGTAATAATTCATATCAGTTAACAAAATTATCCTATTTTAAGTTCATTTTCTATAGCGTAATTTGTAATTCTTTAATTATGTAATACTATAATTTCTATAAACGTTACAATTACTATTGCTATAGAATTATTGTAGAAAAAACTGCGTTTGTTAAGAATTTAATGAACTAATTCATAATAAATTAAATTCCTCACAAAATACATTCAAAGACATTAAGCGATAAATAAAATGAAAACCGAAAAAGTTAATTAACAAATAAATTTCAAGTATGGAAAACAAACGTTGATAAAGATTGTTGAAATAAAGATTATGTATGTTTAAAAGTTTATATAGCGTAATGTGTACTTCTATAATTATGTAATACTCTAATTTATATAAACGTCACAATTGCTATTACTATATAAATCTTAAAGGAAAAGAAAACTGTGTCTGTTAATAATTGAATGAACTAATTTGTAATAAATTAAATTACTCACAAAATACATTCAAATAAATTAAGCGATAAATAAAATGAAAACCGCAAAAGTTATTTAACAAATAAATCTCAAGTATGGCAACAAACGCTGATAAAGATCGTTAAAACAAAGATTATGTATATATAAAAGGCGACCGTAACGACATTGATCGTAAATACCAGATGTCTTAAGTCCCCCCAGTTTCGAATAAAGTAATTAAGATCTTTATTTCCACACATAAATAAGCCGATAATCCGGATGAATCAAATGCAAAAAAAAATGCACAGCGCGCACAAAAAATGTACCATTCACAACATTAGTCCGTGCGTATCCGAATCTTTTATATTATTCATGGAATATTATATAAGTTTCGAGACTGGATGCAAAAAAAAATGTATAATATGCACGTAATAATAAAATATAATACAGCGTTACCGAATCCCATTAGAGAATTACATAATTATTCCATTACGGGCAAAATGGCAGAAGTTTTGCAGAAGCACATTGAATGTCATGTATCCGATATTTTTTTTAACTTGGATTAAGTAAAGACACACGTATTATCCACTTTTTTATAGACTTATAATCATAACGAGTTTTCCCTTTGATGAATTTTGGATATTAGATTTTTTATCTTATTTTTTTTCAGTATTTACTTTACCTTTAGTGTTATTTTTTAACAAATAAGTTAAGTACAACCGAATTGTTCATTAATTAATTTATAAATTAAATATATCTGTTTTGAACAAAATATGTTGCTAATTTGGCTTAATTCCAGGTTAGTTCAATCTTAGATTTATACTCGTATAGTGCGATTAATCGATTCTGCCGCACAGTTTGAAATTGAACCGTATTAAAAGAGACAGAGATAATAATAAGTATTCTTTTAGTTTGTTTTGAAATATTCAAACCATATTATAGTTAATCCACACTGATCGAAGTAGCATTAGGAGAGGTATAGCTCTATGTATGCAATATCTTACAGATGTGCATTACTACCAGCATGGATTAGTTATTCACTATAAGCCGTATAACTTAATAGTAATGCAATGATCTAGTTTGACGTAAGTTTAAATTGGTGGTAGCTGCATTGAGATTTAGTATATTTTACATTGGGATTTCCCGGCTTTCATCTAATCCGCACGGGATTCATAATTACCGGGAATTCCCGTGCGCTTCTTCATTAGAACTAATCAAAATGAAAATGAAAATAAACGTGCACTAAATATAACCACGTGGAGATGGCATACAAAAGAAAGAAAACAAAATGAAAAAGGGTAAACTAAAACGCTTTGCATTTTATTTTCGTTGATGGGTAAATATCATACGGTTTTAGTGGCAAAGCACAGCTTGATCTCTGCAGACTGGTATTAATAATTAAACAGAGATGCTGATGATGTTGCTGATGAAGGGGATGTAGATTTGCTTGTCAGTCAACGCGTACACTTTGATCCCAGACCGCACAGATTAGAGACTGTGTTGCGGATTTTCAATTAGATTAATGTACAAACCGAGAATGAAATTATGAATCGGTATCAGGGATAGACTAGCTTTGGTTTTGGATTCGATAATGTTCTTACCTGGGTTCCAGTTCTGGAAGCTCTGCTGCAACGCCCTCTGGAGTATCGGAGAAACGTAAAGACGCTGAAACACAATAAACAAATTTAGTTACATAATTTACTTGCATAACATTTTTTAAAGGTATGTATAATATAACATTTATTTAATCGATAATAATGAAAAGAGTCTTGTAAATTATTTTATTTAAATGTATTTATTATATAACTTGTGTATTTACTTATAATAACTTATATAATCAATAAAATCAAACAAGTAGCACTTTTAATTTGATACTTAAATTAAATGTAAGATAAATCTGGGAAGAAAACAATACGTGTATCCCAAAGATTTAAAAAAAAGTGTCCTTGCTCAACTGCTTAGTTCATAATGTGTTTTTTTTTGCCGCAGTATAAACTTCAGTTTGAATCGATTTCAAAACAAATAAGAATGAAATGTAGTTTTATTCTCGGCATCAAATAATCCTCCAAGGAAAATAAAGTTCCAGAGCCGAAAAATTAGAAATGAGAGTTGTCATATTTGAGCCGAAAAGAAGACAGAACTAGGAGAAAATGGTTAAATCATAAATATATCATTCTATGTTTTTCTTTTAGCTTTGACTATTTTAATACATTTATAACTAAAGAAAGAACATTCTACTTAATTGTAAAGTTAATTGTATGTGAAAAATGGTTAATAGCCTAATTTTTATTATTGTATTCTTTTTTTTTGTATTTTTTGTTGCAATCTCACATAAATAAAAAATTATAACATAATTATTTATATTGGGTCGTAAATTTATTTTTTGTTTATTTAATATTTCTAGTAAGGTGATGATTCTTATTTGATTTGCCTTTTTTGAAATTATTTTGAAAACTTGAAAATATTATATTTGAAAAGTAACAAATTATATTTTGTTTGTAATTTCGGAATTCGTAATGTAAAAACTGTTCATTCATTGTAGAACGTAGAATTATTTCAAATTAAATGAAATTTTATTTTGAGTAAGAAATGTTTAAAAGCTATTAATTTATATATACTTGTGATATAAAAAGTACTACTATTATGAGAAATATAACTACTTGTTGCACATAAAGTACTTAATTTCCTCCACTCAATCGATTGGAGAAAGATAAATCATTATAGATAATAATTTTGTAATAATTATTTCTAAAAAAATACTTGTATTTGTGTAAATAAACGTAATTAATTATATAAAATACCATAGTTTTTAGTATAATGTTATATGTCAAGTAGGTATCACAAGTACTTGTCGAAGTTATCAATCATATTAGTTAAATTTATTTGTATTCTCTTATGATTATGTAAATACGTTATATGTTTTGCTTTTATAGAATTATTTAGAATTATTTCAAATTAAATGAAATTTAATTTCGAGTAAGAAATGTTTAAAAGCTATTAATTTATATATACTTGTGAAATAAAAAGTATTATGAGAAATATAACTACTTGTTGCATAGAAAATACTTATATTTATACCTATTTGGCAAACACTAATTCAACTTTTAACCGCGAGACACGTTTCAAGACTTTCTCAAACATAGAATACGTTTTTTTACTATAATAATTTGATAACAAATCTTCATTTTGGAGTAATAATCAACTATTCAGTATGGAACTACTAACTGAATAATTCAAATCCTTAAGACGTAATGACAAAATTGTAAGAATTGTACACGAAAACTAATCGGTTTAGAGACATTTCGTGTTTATTTTTCTGCTGAGGCAATTTCAGAGGCTAATTAAAACAGTGCGTGAAGGACTGAAAAGAGAAAAATTACGTAACGGTCGGGGGAGGGGGGTCGAGAGAAAACGCTGGAGTGTAATTATACCGAAGTGGTGAAATAACCGACGACAGAAAGGGGACGACGATGATGATGATGAGGCTGAAGTATAAATTACGTTTCCGGTTTCCACGGCACGAAATTAAGAGGCGGCGCAATGAGAAAATAAAAACGAAATATAGAAAGACTACAAAGATGAAAAACCCAAAGCAAAAATTACATACAAATAAATAAAACATTAAAAGGCGATGCAGTAATTGGATTTTTATTTTAATTCGTTTGGATATTAGATCCGTAATTAAGAAACTTTATTTTCCTTTTCCATCAAAAAAAAAATGAATTGACGGGATACAAAAAAAATTAAGGGAAAACACCTTTACTTTACTGTCGTTCCATTGGGGGTTGACCCATCAAATGCAGCGATGCGTGTAATCGCTCAATATGGAATCCTTTTATTAACCATAATTTACTTTTTCAATCGCTCGAGGATTACCGATATATTTGCTTTTTATTGAGCAACAAAATCTTGAGGGATGGATATTTCGTTATTATCCTCAATTCGGTTTCAAATATCAATTTCCTCGTAATGAAAACTTCTTATTGTTTGTCTCCGCGGTGCTCAATGGCAGTTTTTGTCATGGTTCAACGGTTATTCGTAAAAAAAATTACTACTCTTTTGTATATTGAAGACTTGTATTAATTTATGAGGATTTATATAAGCTATATTGTTTTGAGGGATTATTGAGACATAAATTCATTGGTAATCTAGAGTTTAATGCAACTATTTATAGTTGAAATTTAATAACCGAGATACGTTATGTTAGATAATAATAAAATTGCACCAACGCTCACTAGTTTATTTAATCTTTAAGTACGTAGTTACCATCAACCCTAATTTATTTTATTTTTTATTGATATATTTTTTAGAAAAAATATATTGTAATCGAAAATATCATAAGTTTTTGTTAAAACTATAAAAACTTATATTTTTTTCAATGATTATATTTAATGAAATTTTATCGAACTTCTAATACAAATAAATATGAAAATGTTAATTATTTTTCTGTTTAATTAAATTATAATCATTTATTTTTATTAATTAATTTGAGAATTCGTTATATAATCAAATTTACTAAAATGAAGAAAATAAATCTCTCTGACCAAATTATCCCTTGTTGTTTAAATAAAAATAGAATTGAAATTTTAAATTAAACGAATAAAAAGTGGATGTTATATTAAAATTCATAAGTTTTAGGATAAAGAAAACTCTTTGCGTTGACATAGTCACATTTGTTACATTTTTTTTATTTCCTTTTTTTTTTCTTAATGTTTTCCATTTTCATCTAATTTTAAAAAGGTTGCTAATGTAAAAAATATTCAAATGAACCTTCTGAAGTCTTTCTATAAAAATATTATATTATTTATGCAAATAAAGTTTCACAAATAACATTTTATTGATATATTCGTTCTTGATTATTTTTGAATAAACAGTAAATACACATCACATCTTAGATTATTTATAATAATATTTTTGTTACTACTATAAGCTAATAATTTCCCCATAGTTAATTAAAAAAAATGTAGTTCTATCTATGAATCTTATTGATTTTGATTTATTGCTTTTTCACTTTTTTTAATAATTAGATTTGTTGAAATGACTGTTGTTTTAATGCTTTTTCGTTAAGTTAAATATAAATATAAAGATAAATTATTACTTTTCCCTTCATCATTTTACTATGATTTTTTTATTAGGTAACAACTTATTTAAAAAATGATTATTTCTTATCATTTAATTAAGTAATTAACTTATATTAACATAGTAATTCCGTTCCTCGGCATTTAAGTGGATATTACTTCATATATTAGTATTTCACATAGAGATAATTTTATAACATTGATATGAATGTAAAAATTAGTATAGAAAACTGTTCGATTTAACACGTTTTTCATGAAGAGTAGAACAAACTTAAAGGACGATGATTTCATGAAAGGATAAAGAAAAGAAAACCTAATTTAAAGCGAACTTGTTTTTAAAAAGTATGACGTATGCTCTATGTATATTAATTTATGATTTGTACAAACAAAATATAAAGATTAAGGATATAAGTTCGATTATAGAAATTTGGAGGACATAAAAATAATAGTGAATTATCATTAGCTTTAAGGAAGAAAGATATAATAATTTCTTTCTTACTTTCTATTTTTCAATAATAGAATTTAATTTTAAATTGATTTCACTAATAGAATCTGTTTAAAAAAAATAGTATAAGGAATGCGCTTGTTGTCGCTATTCAAGGGAATCGAGTGAAATTAGATTCAATTAACAACGCTAAATTATATTTTTTTTTCAATTGATTTTTCGTTTCTCTCGCGCTGTGCAATAGGAAGAGAGGTGAAATGCGTTTCCGAAAGCTGCGAGAGTGAAAACGAAAATCGTATTAAAAATCCTTTAATAATAGGCGATTTCCTGAGCGCCCGAGTATAAGTGTGTATGTGTGGGTCGACCTAATCGAGAAGTGCACTCATCTGCGAAGATCAATAAATAACAGTGATTAGTGCCGATTAAAGACTCTCACTGCTCCGGCAGAGAGGAGAATCAAGAACAGAATTGTGAAGAGAAAGTCATCCGCTTCTGCATCTACCACCAATTCTACCTCGCTGCCAGTGTTACTCTTCGCGGCATAGCGGATTAGTCTCGCTTTCGTTCCGCCATCAAAAAAAGGCAGCCATTATCAGTGGCTTCATTTCAAGAACACGTTATGATTATGATAATGTTGGAATATTTTAATGTTGGGCTTTACCTGACTCTCGTAGGTCTCTGCTGGGAAATTGATGGTGGCATCGTCGGCCTCGGTTCGCTTCCCAAATCTGCAACAGGCGGAAGAAAAACGATCCTAAATTACCTGTTGCTTTTGGTGGCAGCAAAGCCGGGGGTGGATTTCCGCAGAATAAAACATGGAATCGCAGAGTCGCATTTACCTCGTCATTGGAAATTCACCCCAGACAAAGTGGAACAGTATACATTTAAACATGACCAATTTTGCATGGGAATTAATGAAATAAAAGATTTAAATGAGGTTTACATAAAGCAATTGAATGGTTTTTCACATTTACAAACATAATATATAATATATTCATTTTTTTATAGCAATAATATTTACGAGCTAATACAAGTAACATTTTATGTATATGAGCTTTTGTTAACTTCGATTATTACTTGTAGAATGTCTAATAACCTACGTCACTTGTCACATTTGACATGTTCATGTATATTCAGTTACTAGAATTATATGTGTTTTCTACATGGACTACTAATTTGTCATTTGATTTCACGTATACAAGTATAAGCAGTTGACTACTAGCAGCTCTCATAAATAGTAAAGCAACTTGTCATATAAATATATTTATCAACTTTAAGATCCAATTAATTACATATGTCATCTGCCAGATTTTACTTACAAAACTATACATAAGTATGAAATTGTCAAATCCTTGCACTTTACAAATTTATGAAGTATAAGCTGTTATATATTTGATGTGAGAAAGTATAACTCTTTGAGTGGCCAGAAATTCCTAAATTTCTAGACAATTTAATGAGACAACTTCGTCAACTGAATCAATATTGGATTGTATGAACTATCAAGATTCATCCCTTGACATACCTACTAAATTTAATGATAATTCTTGTACATTTTCTAGTAAATTATGATAACGCCCTAATCATGTTCCCTAATCAGTTAAATAGTTACTTGAGCTATAGCATATCCTATATATAGTACATTACTTGTAAAGTACATTTATTTGGTAATTTGAAATATTATTATTAACATGTTTCCAACTTAAGTTATATATGTCACTTGTCACATTTGACATGTCAAACTATAAGCAGTAAGTAAAATTTTAGACAAAATCGATACTTTTGACAATTTGGATTAACAAAATTACCAAGTTAAAAAACTTACTAACGTAAATAATTATAAGAAAATTACCAAGTTAAAATGCTCTTACATTCCAAACTTGTAAAGTTACGTAAATTGTAGTTTTTGGCAACGTAACCAATTATATTAAACTTCTAGTTTAAAATCAATTTTTGGTACTTGCCAAATACATTTTATTGGGTTTCTTGAAAATACATTCCAAAAAGACCACATTTTATATGGCAGTTGCAAAGTAATAGACAAGTACTTATTGAGTATAAGCTTTACTATTGCAGAATTCTTTGAAATTATGTTATGACTTAACCCAACATAATATTTATATTGTATAAATATAAATAATAGAACTATATGAAAGTTGAACGAGATATTACAAATGATTTGTTTATGTAATTAATGAGTGAGAAATGTAGGATAGTACTGTATTTATATAATAATGAATAAGATATTATTATAAGTTGATGTTTTTACTTAAGACATATCGTTCTTATACAGTGCTCCACCGCAATATCCAACGTTATTTTCAAGCAGAATAATGCTTGTCGTTTGCAATTTCATTAAGAAGCTTTGTGAAACATTTCGTTGCTAGATAATGACTACATCATACAAAGCGTATTCCCGATTTATTTAATAGAATTTCCCATTTATACCATTATTCATATTCAAACTAAGCTTTCTGTGTATTTTAAACAATTTAATAAATTTTTTTCTAATAATCATTTGAAATAACTAGTTGATGTTCCAAATATTATTATTATCAATGATTACAATGCGAAATACGCAAATTAAATGTCAATTTACTTTGACATCTAACCGTGCAATTACATTGCTATTTTGACATGTGTCAATTACTTGTGAAACGGTTAACACTGGAAGCGCGCTTTGAAACGGCTTTATTTCATTGCATTTAATAACTACTTTCCTTTCATTCTTCACTTTTCATTACCTTCCTTTAAGTATTACATACGGGGCTTAATAACAGAAATTAAGTTTGTAAGATCTCGAGCATTCAACTACGAATGATCTTTGTATTTTTTCTGAACTATCCTAGATTTAAATGACTTTATTTTACTTCTAATAGCTACAAGAATTCTATAAACTATCCTATATTCATTTGTATAACTACAAACATTCTGTATATGTTGAAAAGTTATTATGTAAAATTTTATAAAATTCATTTTTAATAAATTTTCATATGTTTACAAGAAACAAAATATTTTATTTCAATTATTCTAGATAATTCGTCAATATGATTTGTCTTTTTTTACCCCAATTCGTTGTCCAAAGGTACCAATCCAAATATTTTCTATAATAGGTGTTGCTTAACTAATTATACAGTATTTATATTATAAATGAATAATTTGTTTTCACAACAGTTGCATAATATGGATTTTATTAAATGAATTTATGAAGAAACTTTAATAAGTATACAATTCAACCAAATATACTATTTGTCCTTTTACTCGAAGTCTTTGTCCACAGTCATCAATCCAAGTATCCAATAAGAGTTGCTTAACTTTCATATGTTTATATTATAAACGAGCCATTTAACACTTTGATTTTACAACAGTTGCATAATATAATTATACTAGTAAAAGGATTTTGTTCAATGCATTTATCAAAAAACTTTAATAAGTATAAAATTTAACCAAATATATTATTTGTCTTTTTACTCTAATTCTTAATCCAAATGATTTATTATTTTGGTTTCACAACTGTAGCATAATATATTTATACTATTATAAAAAAGGCATTTATCCAGGTCATTGAATAATTGTGTATTAATAAGCTCGGTGAGTGGATTTAAGCGAGTCTCACTTCAGGCAATTAAAAGCTGCTTGAGTCGGGGATTCCCACTGCTGCAAAGGCGGATTGTGGCTTTCCGAATTTGCATTCGCAAACAAAACGTTCAAATTACGATTAGCATCTGCAAACCACCCGCAACTCATTCAATTACATTAAATTATACAAACAAATCTTACTTATTCCAATGCATATGAACAAATTGAATTGTAATTATGCTGAATCTCCAATAAAATCTGCATCCAACCCGTCAATTAATCGATTAGTATTAATACAATTGTTTATTTTTGTATTGTGTCGCTAGATGGCGCTACAATCTAATTGTTTTAATAATTTTATAAATTGTTTTATATTTTACAATTAACGAAATTTACCTACTTTATGTAGGTTTTTACCATATTTTAACTGTTTGAGGGGAATTTCTTACATTTCTAGACCCAACAATTTTTTAAACAACTCAATCAGACAACTTCGTCAAGATCGAAAAATCAATAAATACCAAACAAATTAAATGGTAGTTCCTCTTTCCTGTAAATTTTCTAGAAAATTGTAATAATTCAAAAGGTGGGACAATACGTATCCCATTGTACCTCAATGAGTTACATTACTCTTGATAGACTCTCAAGTTATATAATACCAAAAGTTAAGAATTCGGTAATGTATCACAAATTAATATTTTTTGTTAATTTTATTAAAATTGTGTAATTTTTTGTCAACTCCTAAAAAATTAAATGAAAACATGTTTTTTAATGCAGCTACACTGTTTGTGATATGAAATATTGCTGTAATATAGGAAGTACATAAATTAATTCATTTGATTTTAATAACTTAATATATGAACATAATTGTATTTAAGACTATAGTTGTTACTAATGACAGAAGTATGTTTTTACCAATATTTGATGAACTTTTTCAACTATTTAGTAATAGCTAAAATATCATCAAGTAACTTATACAACAAATAATAATAGTTAAGCAACGTGTATTCTGAATTATACTTTTATTAGGACTTGTATTTATTTACAAGTAACAGAAGGATAAAATATCGATTAATTGCAATAATAATCAATTATACTTGAATTAACTTTACACATAATTAAAATGTCATTACCAAAAAATAAAATAAAATATATGGAATTAAAGTGTCATATGAATTAAACATTGTCTGGATAAGCTTAAAAGCAATTATTCATTTCTATATTTCCATCCTATGTTCTAAATTGCATGGTAAAAGTAGTTCCAAATGTTTTGATGCAGAATTAATTAGTTTCCCGTCGACTGAATTTAAGGAAGACGCATTTAAGCAAATTTCTGGATGAAAATCGTGCACAATCCGAGTTAATTAGATGCGTGCACGAGATTTTCAAAGTTTTAAATAGTTCTGATGGATTTATAATTAGGTAAGAGAAAATTGACGGTGCTAATAAATTAGGAAAACCGCCAATGGATAGATCAGACGCGGGAATTTCAAAGTGGTCGCTTTCTTTTCGAGTGTTTTTTTACTTAACTTTTTGTTCTCTTTGTTCTTCCTCGTTTCCATTTAGAGGTGCTCTTCGGAAATCTGTATTGATGGGAAGTCGTTCGATTCGCTCCAAGTATGGACATATCTCGTTTGGCTCTGATCACGGCTTAGAAAGTGGCGGAATTAAGAAGCGACCTCAGGTATATACTAATTAGCGCACGAAACTTGCGGGTGATTCACGCGCGATTGCGTCGGATAAATCGACCATAAACCGAGAGTCGAGCTATGCAAATGACCGAGGGGACAAAAAACAAAACGAGTAGCACAAAAGAAACGATATTTATTTCCGATTTGCTAATGTTTATGCGCGGCACACTTCAGTTGAGGCCTTTCCTCTTTCCATGACAATAAAACAATTGAAGACATAAAAAAGTATACTTGGATGGATGAAAAGAGAATGAAAATTGCAATAATTATTCAATATGCATTTTGAAAGTAAAATAAGAAGCATGTTTTTATTTTAGCAACCTTTCCATATCTTTCGGAATATCAAACAGAAAAGGTACCTATTTTTGGATCTATATCGCAAGCCCGACAACCGAATGACGTTCGAAATCCCGAGTGTACCGAAATCCCGACGTTCGAAATCCCGGCTGTATTAAAATCCCGACGCTTGAAATCCCGACTATGTCAAAATCCGGACTTCCATAATCCCGACAATCAAAATCATAACTATATCGAAATCCCGACTACAATAAAAATGTTATTGTATAAATTTATAATAATAAAAGACACTGTCGGAATTTCGATATAGTCAGGATTTTGATTGTTGGGATTATGATAGTCGGGATTTCGAACATCGGGATTTCAATAGACGGGATTTCTGTTGTCGGGCTTGCGATTGCCACCGCCTATTTTTGTGTTAATATTGAACCTTAGATGTTATAGAGAAATTTAATTCATTTTTATTAAAAAAAAATGTTCTAAAAAATTTTTAAACTATACTTTTATAAAAAGCAGCTAATTTCCCAGGTGAAAAATCCCACTATATATATCATAGAAAAGTTGCATATCTATGTTAGTTACAAAATGTATAAAATTCGGTATTGATTCAGTATAATATTGTACAATACCCCTTAGGTAAATTTTGTACAATGTCTATGCGTTTTAGAAAATATCAAGGAAATTGAATTGAACTTCTTTTTTTGATAAATTAGGAGGAATAATTTAGTTAATAAAGATTTTTTTTATCAGATTGAGAAAAATAAATGTTTTGATTATTTTCTTAATTGTTTTTTTTTGTTTTTACTAAAAATTAGATGTTTCTTAAAATGCCTAAGTATTCCATATAATATATAGAAAATGTATTTTATTATCCAAACTGCACAAGGAATTATACAGGAAGCCAAACCAATGATGAATTATGCACTTCTACATATCAAAATAATAATATGATAAAAATAATTAAAAATAAACAACAAACAGTTTTGTTGGAGATGGATGAAAAAGAGATGATGTAATGGGGAAAAGTAATGATAATAAAGCTATAAATATAGATGTAAATGTGTATTTTTCTTCTAACTTTTTGTTTTTTGTTGTTTTGTTATCTCACCTGGGCCTTGCTCGATCACCGTACAGATGCTCCAGATGCTGAATTCTTAACATGTTGATGGCCCGCTGTACCTTGGGACCCATGTTTGGTTGGGTCGCAGGCCCACTTCGCACACTACCTGCCACCAGCACGCGTTAGCTCACAAGACAAGTAAACAGTACCACGTTGTATTTTTTTCTTTTTTGATTCAGAAATCAAGAGTAAAAGAATCAGCACACAGAAGCTATTGCGAGTGTAGTAGAATTGATAAGTGAGGAAAACATGCACTAAAACTAAAAGTTACAGTCAATGTTTACTTAGCGTACATCATCGTCCATTTAACGTACATTTGATAACACTTGAACGATTATTTAATTATTATTTACTCTCTTCGAACAAACGTACAAATATTCGTAGGAACGTACAATTATGTCATTCAGTGAATTTAAACGAAGTTATCAGTTTATTCTTAAATTCGTTAAATCATTGGATAAATAAATAACTTTTCAATCTGACTAATAAAACTGAAATATCTATTCCATTCGGACCGATAGCAAACTGTACGTTCGTATAAATATTGAGTACGTTGATGTAAACAAATAATCATGCACATGTATAAGAACGTATACTTTGTGGACTCATTATGTACGTTAACTAAGAAACACTGACTGTATATTAAAAAGGTGATTATAAATTGATACTAAAATACAATACAACAATACCTCGCATAGTGCGAGTTTTAGGAAATATCCCGGACTGTTTCAAACTGAACTAATCGAGGAACTAAATAGAAACAAAATTAAAGGAGACTTGTTTTTTTACAGGCAAGTGTCTCTTTTATGAAAAAAAAAGATCATGTATGTACCAAAAAAATAATTTTGTACCATTTTTTATAATTTATTGTGACAAACTAAGCAATGTATTGCTATATATTAAAATTGTATAATGTAAATATGTTTTTTATATTAACGTTATAATAATAATTTAACATGCATTTATAATGTTAACGAACATTCGAGGTTTTTAAGATCTCACTGATTTTCTATTTGAATAGCAAATACACATTTTAAATTTAGCATTAATGATTGAATGTTCTAACAAATTTACTAATGAACATTTTAATGTATGTAATTTTATAATACTTTTGAATTTTAAATATCCAAACCAAGAAGAAAATATGGTGATAGTTTATTGTAAATCATTTCAATTGTATATTTATATTTTAGTTTAATATCTTATGAAATTAATATTTTGGTATTAAATCTTTTAACAAATGTATATAGTAAAAGAATATTAAAAATGTAATTATATAAAATTGAACAATCATAATATTATAATTGAAGAAACATTGCAATGTTATTATTGTATTGTTAATAATTATAAATAAAGAATTATTTTGTATAATTTGGGTTTTCAAATAAAACATAATACACAGTATTATATCTATATCAACGACGGAGTTTTGCTTGGCAAAAGAAACAGGATTACCGAGCGTGCACTGCATGCAAATTTCACTAATCCCACCCAGTGCACAGCTATAATTAAAATGTAATTAGATGAGCATAAAAAAAACTCCAACCACGAGCAATTAAATTAAAGAAAACGTTATTATGATTCATATTTTAATTAAATGTAGAAGGTGAAATGTATTAAATAAGATTTAAACATTTAGTTTGTTTTTATATGAACAAAAATAGATATTCTACATTATAATTTAAGTTTTTTTAACTCTACCTGAAGGCTTCTAACTATTTTTTTATGAATCAATATATATTTAAAATTTAAGATTATTCCTCCAGGACTTTAAATTCGTGATATATTCTACTTAGAAGGACAAATTTGAATTTTGGGGCCCACATCAAATTTTAATCAATTGCCAATTTGATAACCATAGAAAAAATATTATTTGAGCCCACACTTAAAAAACCGGAAATTTTGGAACGTATTAAACTCGTTAAGCGAGGTACCACTGTAAATATATTTAAAATTTAAGATTATTCCAGAAGTATTTTAAATTTGCAAGAAATCCTTCTTCCTCCTGCTTGAGAATTTTGAATTTCTGCGACCACCGCAAATTTGAATCTTTTGGCAATTTGGTAGCCACAGAATAATTTTAATAAATCACCCCTTAATATGAAAGACATAATATTATAAAGTCTTCAACATACACAGATGAAATGTCGGTTCTTAGTGGGACAAATTAAGAGTTTCGTGGGCACTAGTGGAAGATGATGTTGTTAATTACAGTATACCTTTCGAGATTTGAGGGCCCTAACAAAATTTTATCTGGGCCATCTATACATCCGAATACCACTCCTCCACATTACAAGGTCCTAAGCCATTGTATCTCTGTTATATGACCAATCACTAATTAGGTTAATTATTATATTTGATAAAAGCAAATAAATAAATGTTTAAGAATAAAAAGTAGGTTGGTTCATTATTTATAATGAATATTTCATTATTTATATATAAAAGTATAAAATAAAAATGCACTAAACAATTGATTACACGCTAATAAAATATAAAAGTAGTATATAAGTTGGAAATATGATTATCAGGAAAAATATTGTAGTTATTTGAGAATATTATATTGCATTTTATATATGAATATTGATGCAAATTGCAGGGAAAATGAATATTACTACTATTGCATAAGACAAGTCGGAGAGAATAAAAACAAGACGAATGGGTAAAATAAACTACGTTACTAGATTAGAACCCGGCAAATTTATCACCGGCTTTTGAAATATAGTGATATTAAAGACGAGAAACAAATAAAAATGAAAAATAAACCGTTCAGCAGAGGCGCGCTGAATCTTCTTCTTTTTTAAGGGAAGGAGAGAGCGAAGGCCAAAGAAATAAAGGTTAGTATGTGGGGCAACCACTAAATACACGAAAACCCCGAGGAGAAGCAAAAAAAAATAAAGAAAGAAATAATAAAAAAGCACGAAATAAATAGTAACGACCTGTTAGAAATGAGCCTTGAAATGTTCTCAGGGATAAATAAGTGAATTGAAACACCGAGCATTAGTTTCGTTTAGTTATATCACATCATTGCTTATATAAACGTGTGTTTGAACATTTTTTTTTTGTATTATTTCCTATATACATTTTCAACTTTTTAATTAACTTTATTAAAAAAAAAATGAATAACACTACCCACGTGCGAAATCGAATGAGATGCATACGAAACTAGGCTATACTAATAATTACTTTTCAAACGCGATACAACACAAGCACAAACATAAACCAATTACTATTTTTTTTTATTAATTATATTTGTTTTGAGTTTATTTTATTTTTGCATGAAATTGCAAAATTTTCGAAACTTTCAAATATAATAAACAATTCATTATAATTTTATAGGCCTAAATATTATACAACTTTCCATACATTAAGAAAATGAACGTTAATGAATTTCTATATAAATCTATGATTTTACATTTGTTAGAGCAGTAGGGAAGAAAAAGGTTAACGAAAAGTTCGGAATACCAACAAATCGGACAATAAGTATTTTAAATTCGGATAACGAATACCTTACAGCTAACAGTTAATCCACTATATAAACTTTTGTTCGCAGGTACGTACACAAAGTTCATACGAACGTACAAATTTCCAAGCGATCGTACTTACATATTGCAAAAAGTATTACGAAACGGAATACGTTAATTCAATTAAAATTTATAATTATCGTTTCCTTGAATTATCATTGTAAAGGTGTCATTTATTAAATATTATTGTCATGTAAGATAAATACTTAACAGCAAAAAAATAAAGTCACATAACGAGAGCTGACATATTGTAATTAATTACGTCTGTGCAAATATAATTATAAAATTAAGTCGAGTTAATATAATTGAAAAATTGCCCCCAAGGTAAGTAGTTCGTACGCCTTTTTCCACGATACACATAGTTCTCTTAATTAATCATTCGATTACACGCAAATCAATAACAATTTTGTTATTATGGATAGGAAATTGCAGTAAAATCGATGAAGCCCGACAACAGTCATATAATCATAACCATATTTCATTTCACTTCCACCAATGCAGCACTAACTCGTATAGAAGAAATATCTCAAAAACTGTACTAACCGAGGACATTGAAATCGCATTTGACTGAAGAAAAAATAATCCATCATTTTGTATACATTTTGTGATTTTTTTTAAAATTTTGTTTTGAAATTTGGTTTATTTTAATTTACATTAATTATATTGTATATTTCCATATAAATATATGCAATTACTGTACGTGTTTATTTGTTCGTACAGACGTACAAACGTACATCTTGATCACTCCAAATTTATATTATATTGAGAAAACAAATCAATATTTGAAATATTAAAACAATAGTTTTGTGCAGGGATTTAGTTTGAAATTTAATTTAAAACTGTTTCAATTTCCTATTGTAGTGCATTATGTTCGAATTCGTCTTTCGTCTTCACATTAAATATAAATGTTTCCCCGAAAATCCAATACGCGTGTGCAAGACATTTGGGAATCTGCCTGCAATTTATATTCATAGATTTGTTCAGCCCACATTTTCCTTGTATTACATTGCATGCAATTCTTAGTTTTATAGTTTCATTCATATATTGGATATTTAAAATAAATGTTTTGTCAATAAATACATTTTTTTTAAACTAACTTATTAACAAAATATTTAATAATTTATTATAATGAAATTTCTTTTTAATTTTAGTTTTCAATCTAACAATTAAAATGTCTAACTTTTATGAATATTAAGGAAATTTAATAATTTTTGTTTCAGGTAATTTCAAAGTTATATTTATCTAACTTTAATCTTAATCAATTTATGAAATTACATTAAAATATTACTTTTTGGTATAAGTTTAAGTAAATTTTGAATCTATATTTGTTTCCAATTGTAATATTCAAATTGTGGAATTACCTATTACCTAATTTCTAAAATTGTAAAAACTTTGATCTTCGAAAATATTATTGGGAAATAATTTATTTTATCTGAAATGATATAAAAGCAACAAATTACAGAAATACCTCTCATAGTACGGGCTTCGATCCGTCCGGATTCACTATAGTCCGGTTTAAAAATTTCAAACAAACTAAATCTAAAATAATAAAGTCTAAATCATTAATACAGTAATATTTTT